CAGCCTGTCATACTGAGCATAGCAAAGATGGTTGACGTTCCGCCACAAGATGGCGACAGAGACCGCATAATAAGCCCTTATAAGACTACAGTTTATCAAATCATTCTAAAACAGGTAAGTCACTTTTTAAGTTTTTTGTATGGTTGTAGTGCTGTATTTATACCATAGCCTGGTAGTGTTTCTGGTACTTTGCTTTGCGTTAATTATTGTGATATCGCGATTGCAACAGAGAAGTACTGGGAAATGTCTCTAGACTTATGGCTTTTTATGGTGTTTCAGCCTTATAATCTTGAAATGTGAGCAAAATCACCTGTTTTGTCAACACTTTAGACATTAGGCTAGAGAATCATTAAAATATTAGCTCTAAAGTATATAACTCAACTCACCTATACCGCATGTCTTTGGACTGTGGGGGAAGCCTAAGCACCCAGAAGAAACCCACGCGAACAAGAAGAGAACATGCAAAATCCATACAGACATGCTAACCAACCCAGCAACCTTCTTGCTGTGAAGCGAATGTGCTACCCACTGCATCAGTGTGCAGCCTAGCCCATTTTGAGGGATGTAATCAAAAACAATCGTTGCAACATATTTCTTGTTTAAATTTTTAATTTCAGCTTCCGATAATCCAAAAAGAACCACATGTTGATAAATAATGTTATGCTGCTTTAACATTAAATTATGGTTGAATTGTGTCTTGCTACAGTTAGAAAATATTTTAATAACAAGCAGGAAATGTTTATCCCTCACAAGGCAGGCGTTGCTGATTTGCAACAGTTAAAAGCATAGACTTTGCCTGTTTCTAAAAATTTCATTTGAGCCTGAAAGAGTTAAGGGTCTATACATATTTTTTTTAAATGTGACAAGTACAACTTGTTGGACAGTATGCTATAAATGTTTTCTTTTTGTTGCTGTTGTTGTTCATTTTATTTAATTTGTACTTATACAGCACTGTTCATCCTATCATTTTAAAGCATGTAAGTCTTGTTTGTAATTTGCTACATGCAACATAAAGATATTAAATATTAGAACAATTTCCAAAGGTGCGCAGAAACTTAAATAAAAGTGATTTGACACTTTAAGTAATATATCAGTATTAATACAAATAATTGATTATCTGAAATCAAAACGCAAAACCATTGTTGAAGAAAATGTGCACTTACAAAATAAATATGATGGATACATTTTATTTATTAACAGCCTTTAATAAGGCTTGCCCAGTATCCTTTAAATGCCAAACAACAACCACACTGTGAACCTATGACTGATTGTTTAGCTCCCTCTAGTGTTTTGATGTTTTCTAACATTTGTTAACGTTGCAGTTTTACTTTCAAATTACATATATATTAGTTTAAAGATAAATATAGATAGAAATATACTATGGTGTATATACTATACCAAAATAATAATAAAAAAAGCTTCTAATGAAATGTTTGACATATGGAACAACAGTGCTTGCTTGAATTTGTCAGCAGAAGGTTGATTTGCATATCCTGTTCTATTGGGAAAACAAAAAGCAGGAGTGGGAGTGCCCAGCTGTCAGTCAGGATGATTGACAGTAGCTCAATGAGCATTCTATAATGCGCAGATTGAATAATTTCTCATCTCCCCAGAGAGGAAGAGAAAGGATCAAGAGTAACAACTGATTCTGCAGCCCCCAGTGAACCAACCTGCTCAAATAAAGCACCCGAAATAGACATAGTCGTTTATTTTTTGTTCACTGTAAATGACTAATTGTATTAGAAAAACAACAAAAGTATTCCTGTCAAAGTTGTTCAGAAAGTCGCTGTACATGTTTGCATACACTGTAAAAAACAATAAGTCATTACTTGTTTCTAGTGTTTTCCATTTATTTATGGTTGTGAATTGCAGTATGGGATGTTGATCTCCGCTCTGTTGACTTTTAGGGCCCTATCATACACCCTGCGCAATAAGGCACAAGAGGTGTTTCCTGAAGGTTCCATAATGGTACCTCACATGTACATTTCAGGTACATTTTGGTGCTAATATGCACCTTTGAGGCTCCATTGTGGGCTATTTGGGTACAAATATGTATCTTTTGAAAAGGTACTGCCCCAGTGACAGCTCCTGTACCTTTATTTCTGAGAGTGTACCAAATTGACATTGCCCGTCCTTTTACGAATGCCAAATTGCAATGTTGATGCTTAAAATATATATTGTGTAACCCCACTTTAATCTATTTATGCTCATAAAAGTCACTTTTTTTACTTTTCAAGGTTAAAAATTGTTGGAAGAAAGATCAAGGTGTCATAATGCAATTCCAAAGCAGAAATATACATTTATAAATAATAAAAAAGATGAGATGAAATATGTAAAACTGCTAATTTACAGATGTTTTAGTGTATATACTGTAGTGTGTTTAGAAATATCCCTAATTTTTTTTTAAAGCCTAGTTCTCAGTAATTTAAGGCTTCTTGTTTTGTGTGATGATTCATTTAATGGAGGTTCATCATACGTATTAATGTTAACAGCTTTAAATGTGTAGTCACACGTCTCCTTTTAAAGCCAGGTTTTAATATTTAATGAACGTTATCCCTGAAATGAATGAGAAGTGCTTTACATTGTCATACTTGTCATTTCCACACAGTCCCCACAAATGAATTATAATCTCTCAATGTTCCAAATGCCCTCATTAAAACCCTGGCTTCCATTTTTTCTCATCAAGACATAAAGAGCAGATCGTAAGGTTAACAATAAAGCGAAAGTACACAAGGACAGAGAAAGTCTAGCCTTGTTGAGATTAACAACTGGATCAGATTAAAAGCTTGGGACAACCAAATTTAATTTGTTAATGAAGCAGTTCTTCTGTTTCATTTTATGCTTTATATACAGTCATGAATTCATGTCAGGTGATTGGTTGGGCCATTCTACAGCTTGATTTTCTTTTTCTGAAAGCATTTGAGAGTTTCGGGGGGTGGGGGTGAGGGGGGTGGCATCTTTACTGTATTGAACAGTAGAGTGGAGGTAGGAATGTGTGGGGAGCAGAGAGGGAAAGGATTGACAAAGGATTTGAGCTGGAATTTTAAATCATGTCACAGGGAAAACAATACATGTCGATCCATTTACCCACTAGTGACTATTGTCGTTGACATTCATTTTCATTTGTATTCCCCCAGTTGCCTACTAAAAATGCATGGTTAAACATTTGTTTACGTGGCAAAAACATGGTTGATTTGTTTTGATTTTTGATTTGTTATTGTGGCAAAATGTTAATCTTGGCAAGGTTTTACAGAGCTAGAAGTCTCAAAAGCAGTAAATATAATATTTTGATAATTATTTTGGATATACATAGATATAAAATCATCTTGTCTTAGTCTGAAATGACAGTCTGAAATGGAGTGGATAACTGTATAGGGTGTATTGTGTGTATATGAATAGGGTGTGTGTATTTGAATATAGTGAGTCATGTGTGCATATGTATAGTGTGTATGTGTATTTATCTGTAAGAAGTGTATAATGGGTGAATATGTACGGAGTGTCTCATGGGTGCATATGTATGGAGTGTGTATATGTATAGGGTGTATTGTGTCAATATGTTACAGGGTGTATCATGTGTGCATATGCAAATAGTGAGTCATGTGTGCATATGTACAGAGTGTATCCTGTGCATATGTATTGAGTGTGTGTGTGTGTGTGTGTGTGTGTATGTGTGTGTGTGCGTGTGTGTGTGTGTATAGAGAGAGAGAAAGAGAGAGGGAGTGTACATCGTTTTACAATGGTTTTACAATCGTTTTTACAATGGTTTTAAAGGATGCTTGCAAGCTTCTTGTACAGGGGTGCCCAAACTCGGTCCTGGAGGGCCGGTGTCCTGCAAAGTTTAGTTTCAACCCCATAGAGACACACCTGGGCTAGCTAATCAAGTTCTTATTTGGCTTTCTAGAAACATCGTTGCAGGTGTGTTGAGGCAAGTTGGAGCTAAAATCTGCAGGACACCAGCCCTCCATAACCGAATTTGGACATCCCTTTTCTAGTAGCTTGTGACATGATTCCAAGAAGCTCACTAAGAAGTGATATTGCCAAGACTACAAATTAATTAATAATAATAACCGTCAAACCCAAGCCTGAAACATTTTTTAAAACTCAAGTGTTTCAGGTTTGATATTTGTTACTTTGACTTAACTGTTAGTTTTATATGACTATATTTTGTTCTGACAACCGTAGTATTCTATTAGTACTGTTTTTTGTATAAAGATGAACTATATTATTTCATACTACAATTTTCACATTTAAAAGGCAAAAAAGCAGGGGTGCGTAACTGTTGACTAGTGTTAATTTGAGTTTTTTTTTTTTTATTTATTATAGGTGTTTAACTAATCAGAAAGATTCAGTGACCTCGATTTGAGAATAGCTCTTGGTCACTTTAAGTTGTTGTTTTTAAATCGATTCTTATATAAATTATAAAATAAGCTTGGGCTTGCCTTAAAGGTTATAGTACATAAACAGTACATCAGCAAGCCCTTTAACATTACTAGGTACTAAAATGTTCAATATAGATCCTTTAGGTACAAACGTGTCGATTTTGAAAGTGTACCACCCCAGTAGGTTTTTGAGAATGTATAGAGCAGCCAGTACAAACCTGTAAGCTTTATTGTGCTACAACATTACTTGTAACCCAGGTTACCCATACTAGATCCATAGAGCCAATCACTGATATCAGTGTCCCTACTAAAACACGAGGGGGCGCTATAATAATTGTGTATTTCGACAAATCCATGCGTATGTTGCATAATTGGTTCAATGGTTAGCTCAGGTGTAGCTATACTTGCAATGTCGTTGTTTTTAGTCATTTAAACTGGATTTTATGAATAGTAGGATATGTCCTATAGGCAGTATTTTGTTTACTAATAGGTAAACAAAAACTGTGAAATAGCTGACACAATCTTGAGTTAAATTTTTGTTAATGTATCACTTTATTGGATTATTGTATTTAATATTAGACGCGTTTTACGTTGTCTGTAGGCTAACTTTAGCATACGCAGTCTAGTCCTCGTCGTTATACCGGTAAACTGGCCAGAACTCACCCCTGTTCGGTGTAACTGAGACTCGGATGAGCAGTGATGTCACAGGAAACCCGCTCCACACAATCCTCTGCTGCTTCAGGGACCGCAGTTCATCAGCGAGCACATCTCCTGCACTGCTCTACACACCGCGGAGAACACAGCAGCTAACGTGGTAAGACACACTTTATTCTCACACCAAGAATAAGCCTACTTTTATGACGCTTTTTTATTGACAGTGGATTTTATATTATGAGCAATTGGGCAAACTTTACTTCATCTTGATGTGGCATATTGTTCAGAACTAGAATATAAAGCTTCAACATTAGGCTACGTTATTATTAATTTGCGTATTTAAATTGTTGTTATAGCCTCTTGGATCACTCTAAACGAGTTAGTTTAGTCATTTTGCTTGTTATTAAAGAACTTTTAAAGTTTAAAAGTTTCAGATTGCTTGTCAGCTTTGAATTAATCACCTTTATTTTGTCGAGAATGACAGTTTGGTTAAATTAAACAAGTTTGTTAAAGACCTAATGCTTTCATTAGTGTCAATATTGTCATTTGTAACAACACATTTACACTAAGAAACAACAAAAACAATTAAACACTAGCCTATAATGCAAAACTGTAACAGTCATTATCCAATACATTATTCGATACCTCCAATACAGTGAAAGACTGATTGGATAACTGGGCAATTTAATAAAATATTTAATATAATTTCAATACAAAATGTCCTGAAAACCTTCAAAGGAAACTGTAATAAAACAAAAGTTTATAAAATATTATTAGCAAGTAAATATTGTGAAAATATGAATTGATCTTATTTATTTATTGTTTGCTTGTAATGTTTATTTTTTACATTTATATGCTTTTATAATATACCAATTAGTTGTTGAGACAGTTTGGTTTTATTAATTTAGTTCGTTTAAAACCACTGCTATAGTGCTTTTATTAGTGTTAAAGATATAATTTGTAGCAACAATCAATTATTATTACAGTAATTTTACCTCCAATACAGTCAAAGACTGATTGGATAAATGGGCGATTAATACATTTATTAATATAATGTTAATCCAAAATGTACTGAAAACCTTTAAAGGAAATTGTAATAAAACAAAAGTTTATAAACTATTATTAGCAAGCAAATATTGTGTATATATTCATTGTTTGCTTGTAATGTTTATTTTTTACAGTTATATGCTTTTATAATATACCAATTAATTGTCGAGACAGTTTGGTTTTATCAAACTAGTTTGTTTAAACCTTATATAGTGTTTTTATTAGTGTTAAGGATGTAATTTGTTACAATAATCAAATATTATCATAGTCATTTTACCTACAATACAGTAAAAGACTGACTGGGCGGTTAATAAAATAATGAATATAATGTTAATTCAAAATACTAAAAACCTTTAAAGGAAATTTTAATTAAATAAAAGCTTATAAAAAATTATCAGCAAGCAAATATTGTGAAAATATTTATTTATTGTTTGTATTATTTATTTTTACAATTAAATACTCTTAAATGCTTTTATAATATATCAATTAATGTATATAAAATATAATTCAAATAAAAATGTATATATAATTACCTATATGTATGAATAAGTGCTTAAATAAGTGCACAAGTTTTAAAGACCTAGTCTTAGAAAAGTAATCAAAGTTAATAAATGTTTCACATACAGTTAGATAGATTGGATGGTTTTAACTTATTATATTTTATGATATAACACCATTGAACCGTTTAACCATTACATAAAAATGAAAATTTACTGCTTACATAATTTACATTGTATTAACCCTTTGATGCACTACATGGGTCTAAAGTGACCCGTCTAAGCTTATTTTATCTATATATATTTTATAGCTTGTACATTAAATGGTTAAAGTACTCTACTGTTTGTTAATAAAGTGTTAATTTGGAATTCACACACCAACATAAAATATATACAATTTTTGGCAGCAAACCTTTTTAAAAGGCATCATCATTTATTATGTTTCTTATTTTATTACATTTGTTTTGGTGCCACGGTGGCTCAGTGGTTAGCACTGTTGCCTCACAACAAGAAGGTCGCTGGGCCAGTTGGCATTTCTGTGTGGAGTTTGCATGTTCTCACCGCTCCAGTTTCCCGCACATTCCAAACACATGCGCTATAGGTGAATTTAATAAACTAAATTGTCCGTAGTGTATGAGTGTGTGTTTGAATGAGAGTGTATGGGTGTTTCCCAAATACTGGGTTGAGGCTGAAAAGGCATCTGCTACGTAAAACATATGCTGGAATAGTTGGTGGTTCATTCTGCTGTGGCGACCTTTGAAATAGAGACTAAACCGAAGGAAAATGTATGAATGAATATATATTTTGACTGTTTGATATCTGTGCGTTATCTCTATGAGTTTGATCATTTCCGCCGGATAGAGCTTTGTGCTGTGTTACTTTAAAATTAATCCTTCGTAGTAAGGAGTGGAAAAATTGGTGCTATATACTTGGGTGTATCCTAAACGGACATGAGTTAAACTATCTGTCAGTGGGCTTTCTGATTTAGGGCCTGGAGGGTGGCTTTTCGCAACCAGGCCCAGTTTAAAGAGAGTGACAGAGAGAGAATGGCGGAGAGGGAGTAGGTGGGAGACTCTGGGTATTAAACAAGGGTCTCTGGGAATGTCACATCTGTAAACCACTCCTTCAGCTTCACAGGAAGGGCAAAATGTTATCAAGCTTTAGGCCCTCTGTTTTTCCACCAAGTTCTGGGGTCATCCGATTATCCAAAATGTCTGGGAAAACACTTCATTTTTTACATTCCTATTAGAATGACTTTTATTAAGTGATTTATGTCTGCCGCCTAAACCTGAATGGCACCAGATTTATAGCTGTTTTTCTTCTCTTAAAAGTTTCAATGAGTGGTTTATGGGTTTTTTTTTGTAAAGTATTTCCTTAATCATCTCCCTCTGTTATTGTGAAAACGATAAAGATAATATTATATTATACAATTAAGAAGTGCTGATCTGCAAGAGGCACTTAAAGGTCCCATAAAATTAGAATAAAACCTTTTAGATGTTAGTTTTACTCAGTTTTATGGATATCTGAAAGCTGGTGTGCATTTAAAAAATCTAAAACTGATATAAACATCCAAAGCTCGCAGTTTGTCGCTTCCAATTGAATCTATTTTTTTCATGGCACCTCATACTTCAGTTTCTCATTAAATCTTGACCAATCAATATCTGACAGGCTCCGCCCCTTCTCGTTTCTTGCTTCTCGAGGCGCTTCTCATTTGCTTCTCATTTGCTCTGCTTGATCTCAACCACTCTCACTGGAAGAGCTGTGATTAAAATTAAATGCTATTGACTTTAAAATAAAAAAAAAATAAAAGGGAGAAGCTACACTTTGTACCAGCCTCTCTTCATTTTTCATTTAAGATTATATCAAACATGGAATAAAAAGTGCACAATTCAAAGCACTTCACGGGAAGAGATCATTGCTGATATTTCATAGTTCCAAAGAATCATCATCTTTTTCAAAGAACTTAACTTTTGACTTCTGCGTTTCTTATTGAGCTTTGCTTCTCATAATATTCAGCATACAAAAAAGACAATGATAAAAATAATGTCTTGAGTGGGTCCTGTCTTCATCTACATTGATACTGATAGGTTTGTGTCATTTGAAATGGATCTCTATCCACACAAGTACTTCATCCACATTGTAACATTGGAAAATATGAAAATTGTCTGACTGTGTATGCATCTGATGTGATAAAGGCTGAGGTGATCATGAGACCGAACATAAATTAATTTCTTAAGCATTGTCATTTTATTCATAAAATATCAAACTAGTTAGTCCAGCTCAAACTCAAGTGTCATTTAATGTACGTTTAAAACAGAGGTACTGTATTCAACTAAAGTTTCAAGAGGTCTGGTCTCTGTATTTCATTATCAGCAGAGGTCTGGACCGTACTTTCTTTTGTTGGAATGGTTATACATTTCCATCTGGGCAGCAGCAGGGTTTTGTAAAATGTAAAAAAAAAACAAAAAAACTTAATATTCCAAATGGTTGAGAAGAGTCTGCAGACCGAGTCCACATTTATGCTCAGACATGCATTTAATGAGCTTTTAAATGTACACCTAAACCCCACCCCTCACAGTTATGTCACTAGCTCTACTGAGTAGGCGTGTAACGAATCATGGGTGATCAGTGATTCATACGGATCACGACCCACTTGTAGGTTATTCCAACGTTTGTAACAGATGCAGAGAGATCGCCTCTCACGTCATTCAAGTCACATGTTTAAAAGCATTTTGGCTTCCCTGTAAAATACAATGATGACAAAAAAAAGTTATGGTGGGCCTAAATGCTTTCAAGAGCAGTGAGTGATTTTGTCCTTTTATTGTTTAATTAATCATTAAAAGTTGGCAGCAGGTATATTGTGCGCTGTCACTTTAAGAGCAGTACGGTTCTGATTTATGGTTTCACATTCACATCTCTTTTGATTCTCAACTCGTTTGTTTATTACATAAATGAGGGTTAATATGAATAATCACTTAACACCGCGTTTTGATACAAATGTACATGTATTTGCATGTAACACTTAAAATTACAGAGAGAATAACTTTCAAACATAGTTACTGTATATAACAGCCAAAGATATTTGATTGAAATAAAAGTTATGTCTAGGCCTGTCATCATAAAGCCTTTTTGTTGTGCGATATATTATTACAGAAATTGCTGCGATAAGCAATATTATTGTCATTTTGAGATCATTCTGATTATACAAAACTATTATAATGCAAATACTCTTAAATGCTTTTAAGAGACGAAAAACTTTTCATCCTTAAGGTTATTTAGAATCAGTAATTTGATGTTAAAACAGTAAATGTCCCATTATTAAATGTCCTATTAAGTAAATGTCAAACAACAAACATTGACACCAGTGAGGTAGAATGTAAATGTCCTTGTAAAATGGCTGTACTGTTATTTGCAAATATGTGAATATATATTGAAATTATTGAAGTCATATGTAAGTAATGAAGTTTGTTTTGGGGTGATTTTAATTTAGGGAATACTTGTATAAATCCAGTTCAGCATTTCTAGATTTTCCTAGTTAGCCGTGTCACACTCATCCTCCTAGAAAATGCAGAAGTCCTCATAGTTTGTCATCCTTCTGACAGACAGCAATTCTATGTGCAATCCCACACTGTAAAATAAACAGTAAGTTTATTATTATGAAATTATGCAATTGTAAATTTCAAATGTTTAAGGTTCATTAAAACAAATTAAGGAAATACATTAAGGAAATAAACAATTTCTTTGTATCTCTGTGAACAGTAGTTCTTCAAAATGTTTGAGTAGACGTTGATGACTGACACTATAACACACGCACACAAGTATTTTGACGTATAACGGACAGTGTTTTCAAAATGTAGTGCAATCAACAATGTAGTGTTTGAGCTATATTTCTGTTTTTTTTTTTATAAAAATGCAGTTTTCTGAAAGCTACAAAAATCTGAAACTGTTTAGGACACTTACAATGTACTGCTGGACGAGCTCTTCCTCTTCTTCCAAAAAGACAGCAACAGACGACGACATCTCTCGTCTAGTCTATGATTAGTGTGGATCGGATGCAACAAAAATGTAAAATTAGTAATATTGCCTAATAATAATATCAATGATAATAATAATAATACACAAATAACATTATAAAAAATACCTGCACTCATTCTCTTTATAAAAATCTGCTTGAGTAAAGCACCCCTCTTTTTCAAAATACTGTGAACATTTTCTTAATTAATCTGAAAAATGAAGCAAACAAATATTAGTATTTATAAACAGTATTATATACAAACACAGTTAATTAATGTAGGTTAGTTATTAATTGCATTGCATCATCAATGCTGTAAAAAGAACCCTATGAAAAACACAAGCTGTGCATAAACCTTATTAAATAGCTATATGCAAACACAGCTTAGGCTTACCACTTAAGATCATTGTTGTTCGTCCACCACACTCAAATGTTGCCTTAAGATTGCTGTTAAATATTACAATGCAGATAATTTGTTCAATTTCAGTATATAATTCAGAATGAACAGAAGCAAATCAATTTCAAATAGGCTAAAAATACCCGTGTATCCCCATATAGATCATATGGCAAATACTAAGCTCCCAAACAAGCCTGAACAGCATGTGTCTTTCCTGAAAGAGCTGACTTAAGACAAATAAAATTGTTAACTATTAATGCTTGCCTCTTAACATGCTCACTGTTGATCTGCTCCTTCAAAATGTCATCTGATCACTGCTGTTGTTCATATTCGAATGCAAACATCTCAATCAAATCTGCATAATTGAGTGAATTTTCTTAAAATAAACCTGAAGCCGTCTTTCCACAAATTTATTAGCTTTATTGTTTTCTCAAATTAAGCCTAATAATCGCACTGGTTTGCTTAAAAAAATAAGGGAAATTTATCTTTTGATTTTATTAGCCAAATCTTCTTAATATTTTAAAATATATCCAGAATATAATTTTTTAAAAACTTTTTCTTATATTTTCATATAAGAAAATATGCACATTATTTTTAATGACCATATCATTTTTTTAGGAAAATTACAAGCCTCAAGATTAATTTTTTACAGTGTATACTCTGCTTTGAGAACATACTTTTGAATAATTTTAAAGGTTTTGCATCACCAGGGGTCTCATGTATCAACGCTGCGTACGCACAAAAACTTACGTACGCCAGGTTTCACGCTCAGAATCGCTCGCGTTTGGATTTACTAACGATGAACTGAACGTGGGAATGTGCGCAGCTCCACGCCAGCTTTATGGCTGGCGTACGCAAATTTTTTGTGCGTGTCTGTTTTGTTTCCATTGGCGACTCCTAGAGGCAATTGTGTTAAATTCCTCTCTACAAAGTGTCTGAGCCTTGTAATGGCAGCTGTATGAGACGGGTTCATCTAGCAGGTATATAAGGTTTCCATACCATACAGTTGACCAGCTAAACATTAAAGCACAATTTGCAGCAGTCGCCTGTTTTCCCAATGTAATCGGAGCTATCTACTGCACGCACATTGCTATAAAGACACTATCTGAAGATGAATTCGCATGCGTGAATCAGAAACATTTCCATTCAATAATAATAATTGTAATTCCATGTACAAATAAAATATGACGCACAAACTTATTAATGATTCCTACTTGTCTTTCTCGTGATAAATAGTTGGCAAAATCTGATATGTAGTGGGGGCAAAAAGAGGAAAGAGTTCATCAGACGCTGGATTCGAACCGAGTTCATGCTCAAACGTGTCAAAACATGTTAACATGCGCTTTACGAGCTGCGCCACTAAGACTGTTAAGGGTACCGCAACATTTTACACATATAAATCACACTATTTCTCTTTTAATTCACTCAGTGCGATGTTCAGACCCAACTGTGTTAACCGCATCAGCTAAACTCTCCCACTCTATTTTTTTCTTTTGTTGTTAATTCCGGAGAACAAACTTGCAAAATAACACCGCTTTTCTCCGGTCTACCTCCGAAAGCAGCACCTCCAATTCACATTCTGTTCAAAGTTTCTCTTTTTGCTTGCTTTTGCCATTGCTTTTTCATTGGGTTTTGTCAAAGTAGAGTCATTAGCATATTCATAAGGGGGAGGAGGCAGGGAGGGGTTTTGTGCTCGTGCATGTTGCGCTCAGTTTAACGTTTATTCAGATGTACAAAAGAATATGCGTGAGTTTCTGAATTTTTTTCTACGTACGCACATTTACAGCTTTGTGCGTACGCAATGTTTTAGTATGATTTCCACGCAAGTCTTCGTACATGAGGCCCCCGGTCTGTTATTGCTGAAATTAACCGCTTAATTGGCAAAACAAAAATACAGAATGTACACGTTAGTCTTGTGTCATTATATTGTTAAACATAACACACAGTGCATCTCCCAAACAAGCATCAGTAAAGGAAGTTTAGAAAGGGCAGACTCATTCCTCATCACTCAGACATTTTGTATCATTACAGTAGAGCAACATATCAAGACATTTCTTCAAAGTCATGATGACTGACATTTTGCATGGTGAAATATTTCCTATCCAAATGGAAGTTATAAGAAAACCACACATGCACTAATTCGCTTTGTCTGGACTTCTGGGAAGCGTGTTCGTTTTCGAGACCAAAGACAAATCCAAATGGATAATTTTCCACATATGAGCCTAGTCATGTGGTTTCGGGTCCCCGTCCAAGCAGGAAATGTTTGGAGGCCGAACAAAAGAATCACATGACGCTTCAGCCCCTCGGCCATGGCCATACCGACAGGTATTAATTTAAAAAGGAAATAACAACAGAATCAAGGCAGATGTTAAAGATGTTTTGGAATGCTCTGATAGTTCCACATGGAACGCCATAAAAAGAATAAACCGGGGTTGTATATAATCGGACTGTGGTCCAGGATGTCATAAAACATTAGCATGTAAAAATAGTGAATACTTTGGTAAGCAACTTTTATTGTGGCTATAACAGATCTTCCTCACTTTGAAAATGATTTATGATGCTATCTCTATAGACGAGCCAAAACGGCAACTGTGAACCGTGTAATGCATGTTTAATGATGCTTTTTCTCCCTTTGTAATGATGATAGGCCTCCTGATAGACTGAACTTTCATGTACATGCTTTTTAATCTGTCCTCTTCTCTAACTTAACAACAGCACTGTTACCGCACTCCTGGGAGCAACAATAGGTCGACAGTTCACCTGGCTGAAATGCCTTGTTTTTATGGAATCCCGAATTTTCTGTCAGCTTGACAGAAATAACTAACTGTAATTCGTTAGGGGAATACTCATTTGTATGTTTTCATTTTAGTTACACTGTACAAAATGCTGGGTTCCACATGATTCCTTTATGTTTTTACAAATTTATGTTGATTGAACATAAATCCACGGTTTCCGCTACATTCATTCTTCCATGGTGGGGCGTCACGCCAAAATTGATCCCACCATGGCTACATTACAGCTTTTCATTCAAAACATTCAGTCGTGTTTTTTTTAATAGCGGGTGATAATCGCACCAAAACGTATTAAAAGATAAGTGAATTATAACAGAGCAAACTTTTCTGTAACTGTAGTAGTGCTGTGCCTTATTTGTTTAACCCTTTAAGGTTACGTGCTGACTGACTGACAGGTGCGTGATGCGTGAGGCCAGCAAACACGAGGTATAGCCGTTTCACTTTTTTTCAGGACACATTAATACCGCTCTGTAGGTCTATTGGAGCCATTCATAAATATTCCTAGCAAATCGAATAAATGTTGGAGACATACTTGTTACAAAAACGCACTAAATCGCACTTAAGCAGCGTATATTTGAGAGCGCACAAGAAGATCTGTGCTTGAGCAGCGTATATTTAATGGGGCGTGCAAGAAGTTTTGTGCACGATTGTTCAAGCCGTTATAAATAAATAGTTTGGACAAGTAGCCAAAGTCATTATTTTGAGTGTAGAAAAGTGTTCACTTCATTCTTTGGATGTACTGTATAATATTCTCTGTTTGCTTTCAGGTGAAACGTTCAGATCATTTGGATGCACAAGAGCCAAACAACGGAACCATGGATAGATGCTGCATTACCTCGTTTATCTTACTGTTGGCAACCTCTGAGGTATTTGTTTGTCAGAAAACACACTAAAAAAATGATATGTTAGATTTACAATTTTTTTATGGTTTATGGTATAACTTTAAGTGGTTGCAAACAATTGATATGGGCTGAATTTAAACAATCAAATTAATTTTAGTGTTAGATTTTTGCGTGATGCAAAACATATTAGCATATTAAAAGTTACATTGTTTAAAAAAGAGCACAGTGCATTATGTCTTACTCATAGGACATTATTTTAGTAGACATCAATATGGGTCATATTTCCAGATAGTGACAAATGACCTATACAGTTGTATATGTTGGAAGACATGTTGAATTTCTCACTGTGAAATGTGTAATAATTTAATTTAACTTCATGATATGGAAAATTTAACACTGTTTTACTAACATGTTATTTTCCTAATATGTAAAAAGGGAAGTTGCTTTTTATCAATTAACAGGTTTCTACGGTAGCATTCTATATTCAAAAATACATACAGTTAAAATCAGAATTATTAGCCCACCTTTTAGTTTTTTTTTTCTTTTTTAAATATTTTTTAAATCATGTTTAACAGAGCAAGGAAATTTTCACAGTGTCTGATAATATTTTTTTCTGGTAAAATCTTATTTGTTTTATTTCGGCTAGAATAAAAGCAGTTTTTAAATAAAAATATAAAAAATTAGTGACAAAATTATTAGCCCCTTTAAGCTATATTTTTATTAGTCTACAGAACAAACCATCGTTATACAATAACTTGCCTAATTACCCTAACCTGCCTAGTTAACATAATTAACCTAGTTAAGCCTTTAAATGTCACTTTAAGCTGTATAGAAGTGTATTGAAAAATATCTAGTAAATATTCTGTACTGTCATCATGGCAAAGATAAAATAAACCTGTTATTTGAAATGAGTTATTAAAACTATTATAATTAGAAATGTGTTGAAAAAAATCTTCTCGGTTAAACAGAAATTGGGAGGAAAACAAACAGGGGCGCTAATAATTCAGGGGGGCTAATAATTCTGACTTTAACTGTATATATTTTTACAGTGTACCTGTAGCTAATCATTTATCGTGCTATAAGTGTGCATATCTATTAGGAATTTCGAAGATTCTTGACAGAAACATAATAATTTGAATGCCGAGATTTATAAATCTGTCATTTTCCATTCTTTTGCAGCTAATATCAGTGTTAATCTCTCTTCTTTGTATTTTCCAACAGTTGTTTGTGGTGGTTCTCTCAGAGAACAGCACTGGAGGTACAAAAAAGAATGCCCATGAACTGAACTTCACTCGCCACAAAATCTTGACCGCCCAGTTTGAATGTTACCAAAAGATTATGAAAGATACTAATCACAACAAAACAGGTGAGAGGTTCTCATTTCACACAGATCCTTTATATATATATATATATAATTTTCACAATGCACAACTTTAAAATACAGCAAAATGCAGCATAATTGCCCTATAGTGGAGTACAGTTCATATTACAGTTAAATACTGTGTAATTTACAAAAATCATTAACAGTGTACCTGTCAGTTGGCAGGGTCTTAAAAAGTCTAACATTTCTACATCAATATTTTGGGCCTTAAAGATTCCTTTCTTTAAGTTCACCCAAAACTGCAATTTCTGTCATCATTTACTCACCTTTTACTTGACACAAACCTGTCTGAGTATCTTTTTTTTCTATTGAACACAAAAGACAATATTTTGTCTTCTAATGACTTCTATAAGGGTTTGTGGTTCTCACTATAGATGTCAGTGGTTACCAGTTTCCAACTTTTCTTCAAAATATCTATATTTGTGTTTTACTAAAGTAAGAAACTCAAAGGTTTGGCACCACTTATAAGGTCCTTTCTAGACATTGAATGTCAGGAAAAATGTTTCATACATTTTTTGTCTTGGAATTGTAGAAATTTGTGTTTGTCGCTTTAAATTTTAGTTTTAGTTTGTAAGTGAATATATTGTTGTACCTTTTTTTCTTGTTGTTTCAAGCCTATTGTTATGGTTAGACTATTTTTAGCTCCATTTTATTCCTTTCACGGTCATCAGCTGGCCGTCACAGAAGTCAAGTGCAGTCACCAGGCTTTAACTGTTAACCAACACAAACATTTCAGCATAATATACATTTTAAAAAATTCAAAATGACACATTCAAAAACTTGGTGTTAAAAATTAGATGGCAGAAAAACTAAATATAATGTTTGTAAAACTACTATTGAACAATCAAACATTCGGAGAGGGAGCACTACCAGCCAAACATAAACAGCCAGATAAATTATCCATTGTTGTTCTCTAATAAAATCAGGCAAAATATATTCAAGCTATATATCCAACCGATTTAATTACTGTTTTTATTTTAACATATTTTTAAAATACTATATTATCTAAGCACAGCATCTTATGGCCATGGAACTTGATATTTAGCTTAAAGTTTGAACCTTGACTTGAAGATTTTTTTTTTTAAGAGTTTATTTATTTTGCTTGTCCAAGTGTAATTTGCTATATTGTGATTACAAATGAGACAAAAGTTGTGATATAGGTCTTACATTCCATTCATAATGGTTAAAAAATATCTTAAAGTCTTGGTTAAATCCGCAGAAACCCTAAGTTAGGTCTAAATTCATGCAGGATATTGTCAAGCTCTCCTTCTGATTTAAATAACAACAAATGTCTGCTAGTCATGATTTTTAAAGAATTCTACTGTAAAAGAGAGGATGTTGTCCTGGCCTCTGTCTATTTCTGACTTGTATGCCTTATACTGTAAGTACATTAGGGAAGACATGACTAAAAATGCCCGATGCTTTGTCATGTCCTTCTGGAAATTATGGGGAAAGCGTTCATGTGAAATGACGATGGAATGGAAACAGTCAGTGTGGTGTGACTTACAGCATGCATGTGTTCATCGACACAGCATGACAACAGACAACAGCACAGCGTTAACCACTGAATTAAGATTCATTGCTGTGTATGAGACACAAGTAATAGCTAAAGAATGGCAAATGAATCGTGACACAAGAGCAGGCAGATTTTTCATGACAGCTGTTATAAGCTGTTTTGGCAAAAACCATCAATTTGATGTTAAAAGCATAAAAATCACAGTTTTACATTCTGATGTGTAGAATGATCCATTAATAAATAGTTTGAAATGAAAAAATTCATTGTGCAAAGCCTGACTAGACATTAACAAATAGTTTTATATATATATTTATATATATATATATATATATATATATATATATATATATATATATATATATATATATATATATATATATATATATATATATATATTCTTTGATGCTTTGGCATGGCGCTTTTTGATTGACTTCGAGTCGTTGACTAGTGGCGCTGACTAGTGGCAGATCACATGTTTTTTGACCTGAACTACATTGCAGCTTTACACACTAAGGTGGTTCACTGGATGAAACTGCCCTCAGATTATTTAGTCATTTCATTTTTTAAATGTTATTTTTCTTATGTCAGCATCAAAGATTCATGTGAAATTTGAGAGAACTTTAAATCGTCAAACAGATGCTAGTTAGATCCCTATGCTATCCATATGCTAGCCAATCACATTTACACAATCCTAAAAGTAATGTTATTAGCTGTTGTCCCTTGCGAAACGTAGACGCAGACATATTTTGTGAATAAAACATAAAGCGTGCAGAAACCATGAAGCAGTTTACAGTACAAAACATTTCAGGATACACAGTACAATACGTTTACATTACAGTGAAAAAAGTTGACAATTGTTTATTATTCTACTTGCATAATAATAATTTATTTATTTAATATACATATGGAATTATTAGTACTAAGAGATATTTAGGTTGATATTATTACGATTTTGAGAAGTGAAATATTATTCATCGGGGATGCATTAATTTGAGTAGAAGTGACATTAAAGACATTTATGGTGTTACTTTTAAAAATATATTTTATATCTGTTCATCAAGAAACCCTGGGGAAAAAGTATAAAAATATTATGTTAAATTATTATTTTTAATTATAATATGATGCTGAAAACTGGAGTGATGGCTCCTTAAAAAGTATATATATACACACATATATATATACATATACATATACATATATATATATATATATATATAAATTTGGTAACACTTTATAATAACTACACACTATAAATCATTTACTAAGCATTAGCAAATAGTGAATTCATTATCTGTTAAGCATTACCTCTACATTAATAAACATCAAGAAGGTTATAACTGCAGCTACAAATGCTGTATTCTTGACTAAAAAACATTTATAATGTGCTTGATAATTGTACTTTCATTCTTTGTTAATTATTTATTTTTCATTACTTAAGGAAATATTGCATTATTTACAAACCATGTATATTTAAGAGTAGTTGAGGGTTTTTAGGATAATTCAGAATGAGTTAGTAAAAGATTAATACGCTATTGAAATCAACGTTTATATGTCTTATTATTCAGGCATTTATTAATGGTTACTATATATGTTAACAAATGCTTTATTAACTCAACTTCATGCAGTTTTGTGACCTAATCTAAAGTGAGGACTATTTATGCTTTATAAATCCTTTGTAACTGATAAATAAAGGCTCATGGTTCTATGCAGATGGTTCTATGTGTAAACGGACATGGGATGGGTGGCTGTGCTGGGAGTATATGGAACCAGGAGTCACCTCAGCCCAGCACTGTCCAAACTACTTTGATGACTTTGACACCTCAGGTCAGTTCCACCAAGACTTTTATTTGTGCCATTGAATGAAAATGTCTTTGATAAAAGCCTGACTAACTGATTACCAAATTGTGCCCTGTCAGAAGTGGCAACGAAAATTTGCACTAATTCGGGCCATTGGTTCGTTCATCCAGAGAGCAACAGAACCTGGAGTAATTACACCGACTGTAGGCTTAAGTCTAACGATCACAAAAAGGTGAGCTCTAATTTATGATTTAGGTCATCTGTTAAATTGCCAAATATCTTAAGTCACGTACTAGCACAATTGATATAGGCTTGATCTTGAGCCCACAATGATGTAGGCTATAAAAACACAGGATCCCTGTCCTTAAACAGTAATGTATAAACAAAAAATCTATTAATAAAAAACAAATATTTATATAATTTTAACTAATATCACAAAGTAGGCTAAATGAACAAAACATCACAACAGTTTTGGTTTACTTTCTCGCTAAAAAAATGCTTGTTTTCCCATTAATAACTTTCTTTGACTCTTGAAAATATCTTTGAGGGATTTATTTTTACATGCATAAACAACAGTTGCCTAAACAACAGAACATTGTTGTTTTATTTTGCCTGTAGTGCTTCTATGAGAGGAATACATTAATTTATATAAAATCAAACAAAGTTCAAGATGATGGCACTAAGGACAATATAGGCTTTTTAGTTTTACATAGGGCTAGAGAATGTCTGGGATATCAATTATAGTACGGTAAAACATAATCGTGAATTTGCAAATGAAAGAAACATCATTAAAAGGGGTTCTATTTTGTCAAGTTTATCTGCACCACAAATGCACCACAATATATATGTACACAATATATTGCCTATATTCACTGAGAAATGGATACAAATATTCATCTTCAAAATGGGGTGTATTGTAATTTTTGCTTTTTGATATTGGTAAATATTCTAGGTATAACTTGTTGTTTTTGTTGTTGTTTTTAGACAGCGCTTAATCTCTACTACTTGACTTTGATTGGTCATGGATTATCTCTGATATCTTTGTTTACATCTCTGGGGATATTTTTCTACTTTAAGTAAGTCATGTGTAAAAATCGTGTCGCAGTATTCTAAAAAAGAAATATATTGGCACCTTTCACCCAGTCTGACACCTTTTTTTTGTTTTTTCCCACCAATAGGAGCTTGAGTTGTCAACGGATAACTCTACACAAGAATCTCTTCTTCTCCTTTGTGTTAAACTCTGTTATAACCATCATCTTTTTCACTTGTGTTGCAAACAACCAAGAAGTAACAGAAGCAAACCCAGTAAGTGCACAAACAGAACACATGTCCATATCAACTGGAATGCATGTTAAAGGGACAGTTCATAGAAAAATGAAGGTTCTGTCATCATTTACTCATCCTACTGTTATTTCAAACCCATATAAATGCCTTTAAATGATATTTGAAGGAATGTCAGTAACCAAACAGATCTCACCACCTATTTTCAGCCATCATTGGAAAAATATCGTTGACAACTGACATCCTTTTTAAAGCAAGGATGTCAAACTCCTGGACAGTTTAGTTCCAACCCTGCTTCAGCACACTTACCTGTAGGTTTCAAACAAGCCTGAAGGACTCAATTAATTTGATCAGTGTGTTTAATTAAAGTTGGAAATAAACTGTGCAGAGCTGCAGCCCTTCAGGAACTGAGTTTGACACCTGTGTTTTAAAGTGATAGTTCACCCCCAAATTAAACCTCTGTCATTATTTATTGCCTTATACTTTCAGTTTAGTTTAACAACTTTATTAATCCTACCAGGGGCAATTGGATTAGAGTAGTAGCATTTCATGATACAACAAACACTTAAAGAGACAGATCAATTACAAACGATATTAAAAAACACAATCCAGCATGTTTCATAACAGCTTCATAAATAGTTAAAAAAAACATAGGAAAGACCCATGTATTAAAAATGTACATTTAAAGTACATTTACATTTACAAAGTACAATGTACATTTAAAAATAAACACTTGCTAAAATGTAGTGTTGTAAATCCTTATTGCCTCTGGAACAAAGGTAAATTTATATCTGATGGAAGAGCATTTGATGCCTCTTAACCTTTTTCTAGAGGGCAACAGAACAAAAAAAATGGAGGATGGGAGTCATCTCTTATCACACTTTGAGTTTTCCTTAATACTTACTGTTCATGTAACTCTGTTAGACTCCTCAGAGGTAAACCAATAATCTTGGAGCAAGTCTTGACTAAGTTTTGAAGGCGATTTTGCTCTCTAACGGAAAGTGAGGAGAACCAGCATAAAAAGGAAAAGCTTAAAACACTCTCGATATAGGTGGAAAAGTTCTCAGTACACGTTTTTCTACACAGAAAGAGTTCAGTTTTCTAAGAACATACATTCTCTGATGCACTTTCTTAGCAACAGCTTCTGAGTTCTGCTGGACCTTAGTGTGGTGTCAAATATTGTACAAAGATATTCTTGTACCCTTTCAACTTGTTTTCCGTTACAATACACTGGTTTCACTTCTAAGGCATTTTTTCTAGGTGTTTCCAAAGCTGTTATTCTTTCTTCATTTGAATACCAATTAAGATATTTTAAAGGGCACCTATGGTAAAAAATCTACTTTTCAAGCTGTTTGGACAGATCTGTGTGTTGGTATAGTGTATAGACCGTCACACTGGGGTGATATGAACACACCCAGTCCTTTTTTTTCAATTTAACTACAAAAAAAAAAGGGTCGGCCAATTGGAGCTGTTTTCAAATCGATCGCACCATTACGTAGGTGTGCGATCCCCCTGCCCACCGAATTGATTGACAGCTGCGCGCATTAACATGTTCCGGTAGTCGCGTGTATATGTCAACAAGACCAGACAGACATACACAAAGCAACCGGGAATAAAAGGTCTGTTCTGTTCTGTTCGCTAGGATCAGCAATCATCATCAAATGTGATTAAGAGTAAGTTTCACATGTTTAAAGTGTTTTAATGTTTGTGTGTAATTAATTACAGCGTTTTACTTCAGCTTTACTTCATCAGCACAGCCGCGTGTGAGAACAATTATAAAAGAAGACGCTTCAATCCCGGTTTGTGGAAGTTAAATCAGGTTTATTTTGTACATTAGCATAACAGATATCCACACAGTCCTTGAGGTTAGCCTTAACTAGGCTAAGCGCGCTCTGTCTGTCTGCCTGCCTGCCTGCGTGCGTGCGTGTGTGTGCGCGCACGTGCGTTAACTTCGTAACGATATTGTGTGTGACTCATCAATGCAATTTCACAATACTGATTAGTAAAGGTTAGTTCTTACTGTAGTATCTCACAAACGCTACGTGAGACCTTCTTCCTTTAAGTCTGTCTGTTGTCTGACGCAGCTGAGGGAGGAGGCATGTAGAAATAGTAGGCGGGAAAGACTCGGCTTAAAGGCGCAGTACGACAAAACCACCCCCTGCTGGAAATCAGTATAAAACAGCATCTTGTAAAAGGTATAATGAAAAATCTGATGGGTATTTTGATCTGAAACTTTATATGCACATTCTAGAGACGCAAAAGACTTATATTAAATCTGAAAAAAGGGGTAACCTAGGTGCCCTTTAAAGCAAGTTTTTATTTTTGTAACACAGAAAATGTGATGAAAAATGTTTAAAACCGACAGCCATAGACATCCATAGTATTTCTGTTTTTGTCCTAACATGGAAGCCAATAGCAACTGGTTTTAATTGTCATTCAAAAACTTTTTCCTTGTGTTAAACAGAAAAAAGGGAGCTTAGAAAAGTTTGGTGTGATGAGTGCATTTTTTATTATTGGATGAACTTTCCCTTTATTAAAGGAAACAGGTTCGTATTGATTTGCTGTTGATGTGTTTTCTCTCAGGTAAGCTGTAAAGTGTCAGTGTTCATCCATCACTATCTGCTGGGCTGCAATTACTTCTGGATGTTGTGTGAAGGGATTTACCTGCACACACTCATTGTGGTGGCAGTTTTCGCAGAGAAGCAGCACCTCATGTGGTATTACCTCTTAGGATGGGGTGCGTTACGTTATTCTTTTATTTAATTTTTAATTGGCTTTTCAATATAGACTAAATGAAAGTGGCTTCATGTTTCTTCAATGTTGTAGATTTTTTTTGCTGTATTTTATTTAAAAATGTATTTAAATGTGTGTTTTTTTTAATGTTTTTCAGGCTTCCCATTAATACCTGCATTCATCCACGCAATATCACGAAGCTATTACTACAATGACAAGTGGGTTAAATAGATTGTGCAGATTTTAGCTATGTTATTTTGAAATTAATTAACATAGTTATATATTTTTTTAATTAACATAAGTTAACATTACATATAACAATGTTAAAATTATTTTATTATTTTTGATAATAAAAACATTAACAAAAGTTAATATTATTATTGTTAATAGTTAAATCAGCATGTTGGAATGTTTTCTGAATGACAATAAAGACTAGAGTAAGGATGAAAAATCTGATTTAGTGTGTACTTTTTTATTCAAATACATTGCAGCCTTGATGAGCAAAAGAGAGAGAAAAAAAGTTTGATTACTCCACATTTTTGATCAAAAGTGTATATTTCTTTCTTGTGAGCCAGTTATTTCTTTAACGTCACATTAAATTTGATCTCACAATCTCAACTCAGCTGCAGTATAATTTCTAATTCTATATATTGAGTGAATGTAACAAAATTGATCAGTGCCTTATACAGTAGCTGGGTTTCCATTCTAACATGAAGCAAATCTTTCAGAAGTTTGCTAAAAAAGTAAGAAAAATCATTAAAGCAAATTAGTTTGCGTCTGATTGTAGCATTGATAACCATAGCAACCAGCAGTAAACAAATCAAGCATAATGGAGACAGCTGATTAGTCACATGAGAGTAGTGTTCGCTATATCAGACCTCTTTCAGCAAATAGGTTTCCATCTCCCTGTATTCGCATTAACCCTTTTTTAAGGAAATTTTTTCAAATGACAGGATTTTTATAAAAAATTTGGCGTTCCACTTTTAGCTTAGCTTGACATAGACCATTGAATCGGATTAGACCATTAGCATCTTGCTCAAATGACCAAAGAGTATTAGTCTTAGTACACCATGTAACTACAGTGAAAGAGCCTGAAGAGTCAGGCTTTAAATAGGAAAACATTTTGGTCAGTTATGAGTGAGATGCTAATGGTCTAATCCGATTCAGTTATCTATGCTAAGCTAAGCTAAAAGTGCTCCCGCCAGACCCGGAGATCGACTGAATGGATTCAAAAATGTTACAACTCAATTGTTTAACTCAAGAGTAAGTGTAAAAAAGTGGAGTGTTTCTTTAAACTTTTAAACTTACTTTAAAACAAAAAAGAGCATCAGATTCATCCCAGCTTCTACAATGAGCTGACTGTGTTAAATCTAGTGAAATTACAGTGGTGATATTTTTTAACTACGTTTTTAAGTGTTTTTGCTAAATCCAAAAACCACCTCAAGGGAATGTAAGATTTTCTTTCAAATTAAAGGATTTTTATTCAAAATTTGGAGTTTCCACTTTTAGCTTAGCTTAGCATAGATCGTTGGATTGGATTAAACCATTGACAACTCACTCAAAAATTACCAAAGAGCTGAATTTTCTTAAATGCTTATTTGCATTATTGACATACTTTTCATTTTTTATCAGTCTTAGTACACTATGTAAGTAAAAAGAGTCAAGCTTTAAATAGAAAAAATATCAAAACATTTTGGTCAATTATGAGTGAGATGCTATTGGTGTAATCCGATTCAGTTATCTATGCTAGGCTAAGCTAAAAGAGCTCCCGCCAGACCCGAAGATCGACTGAATGGATTTAAAAATGGTAAAACTCAATTGTTTACTCGAGAGTAGTTGTAAAAAAAAGTGGAGTGTTTCTTTAAACTTTCAAACTTACTGTAAAACAAAAAAGAGCATCAGATTCATCCCAGCTTCTGTCAAGAATACACTGAGCAAACTCTGTAAAACATCTTGTGAAATCACAATAATGATCTTATTTAAAGAAGTTTTCATGCGTTCATTGGTTCTGCTTTCAATCAATCTGATATTTTCTTATACTTTTCTCTGCAGCTGTTGGATTAGCTCGAACACTTCTCTGCTCTACATTATTCATGGGCCCATCTGTGCAGCTCTATTGGTAAGTCTGCTTTCTCTTTGCACTCTTTATTTCATTTTCTCACACTTTATCTCTCTTGTTTATCTTTTACCCACCCTTGGCAAAGTACTTGCATGATCTTGATTCCAAATAATCAACTTAAACTTTGGCAATCAGCTCTTTTTAATCAAAGTGCTGTGGTCTTTTTGTTGTTTGTGTCGGGGTCAAATCTGATTAGGAAGGATTTTTCTATGCAGCCCATAAGGAGCATGTAATGAGCACATGTTCTGTATCGAATCAATCTTGCACTGAGCTCCACAGTAAGTCAAAACTTTTAGTTGAAAAAGATAGTTCACTCAAAATTGTTTACGCTCAAGACATGCAAGATGTATAGCTGGTGACCTTTTTCAGAAGAACATTAAAGGGATACTTCACCCAAAACTGGTGAAGACGGATTTTATCTTCATTTACTCACCCTTTACTTGTCAGAAACCCATTTGAATTTCTTTCTTCTACACAAAAGAAGATATTTTGGACACATGTTACTGAGCCCAGAGAAGTCGATAGCACTTCTGGACACTGTTAACATAGGGCTTCTTCCTTTTGGCACAGTATTTTCTGATTTGGGGTTGCACTAAAATGTCAATAAAAGTCACTTTGTTAAAACTGTAGAGTCGACAGAGCAGAGATTAATGTCCCATAAACACAAAACAATTGTGAAATACAAAACGAAACTTTTTTACAGTATAATCACCTTTTAAATGTACTCATAGATGTAGTGTCTGCACTACTGTTGTCTCCTAGTACACTTTTCTTATTATTTATTTAAAAAAAAGAACTTTTTTACAAAAATGTAAAAATGTGCACATTCCTCATCTTATTCAAACATCTTGATCTTATTCAAACGGTATTTTGCTCTTTTATATGTGGCTTGACAGAAAAGAGCTAACATGTGATTCAAATTTAAAACCCAAACATTCCATCAAATTCCTTCATCTTTTTTGAGTTTTCCACCATTGTCATTTGGGTTTGCACTTCTGTAGAAATATGTTTATGTGCACTGGCTTTGGAAACTGATGTATTGCATATTTCCCTCTTTTCTCTACTTGTTGTTCATAGGTGAACCTCTTCTTCCTTTTAAACATTGTGAGAGTGTTGATCACCAAGCTGAAAGTGACCCACCAGGCAGAGTCCAGTGTGTACATGAGGGCCGTCAGGGCCACGTTAATCCTGGTACCTCTGCTGGGCATTCAGTATTTACTACTGCCCTACAAACCTGATGGCCGGCTCGCATCTGAGATATTCATACACACAACCAACATACTTATGCATTACCAGGTAAAAAAAAAAACTCAATATATTTACAATACAATACCAAAGTGAATAAATAAATGAATTTTCCAGCATATTTATTACTAATATTATGTTAAAATAAGACAGTAACAGCTATTTTAGTTTTAAAATGTAGTTAATTCATTAAAAATATGTATTAAATGGCACCTAGGATGAAAATCATCTTTTTTAAGCTGTTTGGACAGAACTATGTGTAGGTATAGTGTGTCCAGTCATATTGGAGTGATAGAAACACAACAAGTCTCTCTTTTTAAATTTCCTTACAATTAAATAGGATCCAAATTCCTCCCATTTTGAAGCCTACCGTAATGTGACATAGAAGTTTGGTTTCCCCGCCCACCGAATTGATTGACAGCAGTCTATTAACTTGTCTCCATAGTAACACGAATAATCATTTCAACAAGACAGGAAGTGCGCAATGCAACTTGGATTAAAAATATCAGTTCAGCTCTCTGTAATCATCAGTCATCATCAAATGTGATCAAGAAAGAGTTTTACAAGTTTAAAATGTTTTTAAAACAGTGTATGTTTGTAATGAATTACAATGATTTTACCATCTTTATCACCACAGCTGCGCATCAGCACAATTTTTTTTTTTTCCCACTCTCCTATTGGTAAAGTTTTTTTCCCTCTCCGCTGTCGCCACTGGCTTGCATGGTTCAGGATCTGAAAAGCTACTCATCGATGAATTTGCTCTTCAGTGTTTGGACTCTCAGTAATGACTTCAAACCACACTGAACTGAGCTAAACTGAACTGAACTTAAACACTAAAAACTGAACTACCCTGATCCAGTTACTATGACCATTTATGTGAAGCTGCTTAGACACAATCTACATTGTAAAAGCACTATACAAATAAAGCTGAATTTAATTGAATTGAATAATAAAAGAAGACGCTTCAATGCTGGTTTGTGAACATTAAACAGGTTTATTTTGTACATAACGGATATCCATACAGCAATGGATATTAGCGTGTATCCTGTGACATTTGCATGCAAAAACAGTGCAAAGTTAAACGTGCGCGCTGTGTGTGTGCGTGACCTTTGTAACGACGTTGTGTGTGACTCATCATTGCAACTCAACAACAAATAATAATTGGGAAAGTCCTTACTGAAGTATTTCTCACAACCTTTACGTGAGATCTGCTTCCTTCATGTCTATTGCTGTGTTGTTTATCTGACGCAGCCGAGGTAGAGATTGAGGCACACTCTGACAGGCTCGTGGGAACGGAGGGCGGGGAGAACTAGCATTAAAGGCACAGGCAACAGAAACAGCTACATTGTGTTCAGAGCAGAAAATCCAATATTCTGAAAGGTATAATAAATAATCTGATGGGTGTTTTGAGCTGAAACTTTACAGACACATTCTGAAGACACAAAAGATTTATCTTAACATTTGAAATATGGTAAAATAGGTGCCCTTTTATACATTTTTACATATAAAAAGTGAATGCTAGATAAATTTAATAAAATTAAATGCATTATTTTAATTGATAATGCATAATTTTGTTGATAATAATAATAATTGTAAAAGAAGCACTCAAAGTCTTCATTTACAATAAAAAAAAAACTACAAATAATTTTTTTTTCTTTCTTCATTTTTCTTCAACAGGGCCTTTTGGTTGCCACAATATTTTGCTTTTTTAATAGCGAGGTAAGCCGTTTTTCAAACCCTTTCATTACACACTAAAGTTGAATTGATACATAATATGTTTAATTTGCTTATCAATACCTGTTATGTAGGTTCAAGGTGTGCTACGACGCCACTGGAACCAGTACCGCACCCAGTTTGGCGGCACATTCGCTAACACAGCCCTGCGATCCGCATCTTACACCGCGTCCTCCATGACAGAAGTCCATCGATGTTACAGCATTGACGGTCACATGGACAGTCTAAACGGCAAGACTTTTCACAATCTGGAGAGCACCATTCTCCGATCAGACAACCTGTACATGTGAGTGACACTTTGGCTCCAGGGAGAAAAACCTCATGGACAGGACTGAAATATGTGTGTGTGTGTATAGAGGTCTACGAGGCAAACATCTGGACCTAAGATGACAAGACGTCTTTACTTTTGACTACAGGCCTCAGTTTATGGATGATACTGTATTTTCTATGGAATATTACATTGATGGAATTGAACTCTGCGGAGAACATCACTGATTATCAGTCTTTGATTGGAAGGAGGTGAAGTTGGATTTTACCTTTCCTCTTGGGTAAACTATGAACTGTGGATCATACCTAAATGAAGCTTTTTTTCTTTGTGGCACTGTGTTTTGTTGATGAGGGCTGAGCCATTGGTTGATGGATTCCAGAATCATGGATCTTTGGATTATTTTGGGTCAAAAAACCTGTCGAGGAAGAAAGGAAAACACATCGTAAAACACTAAATCTTCAGGATGTGATTTCAGAACATACTGATGACATTTGTCCTGCTCTTTTTTCCATTGTGTCAGCAATTTTGTGCAGGATTGGGTAAAGTTTTTTTTAAAAGTCATATATTACAATCTAGATTCACTAAATGTGTGTTGCGTAACTAAATTTGCAAGTGTGTGTTGTTATTTTTTGCCTATTTTTTGGCTTGTTTGTTTATAAAAGAGGCCTACTTTGCAAGAATCACTTTTATAATGGGTTTAAAGACAGATGTATGGCAGCATTGTGTGAATATAGCAAGCATCTTAAGGTTAAAAAATCACACTTGATAAAAACAGCCTGCAGAAACACTTTAATTTACATTCCCCCATTGTACGGGTCATCAGAGGGGGAATGCCCCACACATTAGTTACAACCTCTCCCTTATAAGCATAGACAGCCCTGAGTGAGAAGCAGCGGCCCATTAGTAAAGATAATGTTAGCGACTTAGAGGCTTTACAAATGTTGTACTTTAGCAGGGGTGTCAAACTCAGTTCCTAAAGAGCCGCAGCTCTGCATAGTTCCAACTCTGCCCCAACACACATACCTCTAGGTTTCAAACAAGCCTGAAGGACTCAATTAGTTTGATCAGGTGTTTTTAATCGGGGTTGGAACTAAACTATGCAGAGCTGTGGCCCTCCAGGAACTCAGTTTGACACATGTATACTTTAGGATGCACAAATGAACACCGTAGTCTTCATAGACCAGTGTTTCCCAACCCTGTTCCTGAAGGCACACCAACAGTACACATTTTCAAGCTCTACCTAATCCAAAATATGGACTGTTGGTGTGCCTCTGGGAACAGGGTTGGGAAACACTGTCATAGACTACTCTGTCTTTTGAGTTGCTTTGAGATTTTCAGTTTTTCATTGAAATAACATTAGTCATGTTTTGAATGTGCCACTATGCTGTTGCATAAGAGTCTATAGCTCCGCCTTCTTTTGAAATCAGCACAATCTCATTTGAGTTTAAAGCGACAGTCACCAAAACAACGCAATTTGTATAGAAGCCTAAAAGGTGCAGTTTCAAATAGTTTTAAAAATTATTTATGGGGTATTAGCTGAAATTTCACACACACACTCTAAGACCTATTTTAAATCTTGTAAAAAAGTAGAGATGGATGACGCAAAACTGGCGTTTTGACACTATGTCGAGATCCTGAATCACGTGTTTCGAAACACCCAGTTCATGTGACTAAAGCGATTCATGGCGCGGTAACCACACAAGCATTCAGAGTGCTGGGCCGAAAACAAAACAACAGTCTCCCGTGGTCTAGTGCTGTGGTTCTCAAAGTGGGGGTCGGGACCCCCGAGGGGTCGCGGGACAATGAAGGGGGGTCACCTGGTGATTTCCAAAAAATATATTGATTTGTATTAAACCATAAGAATTATCATATTTTATCCATAACCTACTGAAGAGGAAAATAGTCGTTTATAGTTATATATACTGCATAGTTACTATAGTAGCTTATAGTTACTAGTTCTATTGGATTGCGATCCCTGGAGTAATTACATTGTATTAAAGTCACAGCAATAGCGCCAGATGCAGCAGATTGATTTTATAACACCAGGTAAACTTTTTGGCTCATTTACAGCACTCGCATACATAAAAAAAATTAAATGAAGAATAGACTTGGGTCTATTGGTGTGTGTGCATTTATAAGCACCTCAGAGGATATTGGGGGTCGTGAGTGATTGGCATTGTTATATTGGGGGTTGTGGCCTAAAAAGTTTGGGAACCCCTGGTCTAGTGAACAGTACGTGTACATAATGCAACTGTACTGCTATTGACCTTGAATCTCAAATTATGACTTAGATTAAACAACATAATTATTTACAATCACTTATAAATATGACATGTTAAAACAAGACACACAGAAACGGAGCAATAAAATAACCAATTATAAATGTTTAGAATTGCTTCATCCTAGATTCAAACCCAATACATCTGCATGCCAGTCAAGAACACTAATCACTAGGGTTGTTGCGATACCATTAATTCATCTTACAATACTATACTAACTGAGGTATCACAATACCGAGTAGGATTGCGATACTGTAATTCATAACTCAAATTATAAAGATAGTTGTCAGGAATACTATAATTTACATGTTATAATAGGCCTTCTTGAAGTTAATTAATATTTCCCTATTATTAATTAAAGTATTATTTGCATGTCACTTCACCAAAAATGTATTCATTCTTTTTATTTATTTTCTAGATAACTGACCAACAAAAAATAGATTAAAATAAAGATACAAATTATACCAGATGAAATCTGGTATAAGAGCATTTTTCCAGCAGGTTATATGAAGTATTCAAAAATTGTTTCAATGTTTCCTATTGCTATTTTGGGTTTTTCATCAATTCTTTTTTTTTTTTTTTTTTGTCTTATCAAGGTAACAATCCAGAGTAATTCAAAATTTCACTTTGTGTGCGTTTTTTTAAGAGATTGCTGTGGTTGTTGTAGCTACTAAATCATATTGACAGGAACAGAAATCAACCGACTCTTGTGTGTTTGGAACTTCAGAAAACGTGCAACCTTGGGGCTCCACATACTATTAAAATAAAATGGTCTATTTTTGCACAAATGTGTGGCCATTTTAGTAAATTTTCCACATTTCAGATAGACATTAATGACGATCCTACCGTTAACAAACTACAGTGGCACCGCCAGTATTTTGTAGCCATAGCATCGCGATACTATCATAGTACTGGTAAACTGTGCAACCCTACAAACCCTTCGACTAAATAACTTGATGTCTGGTCGAAACAACGTGTGGTATAATTGTGGTATAACTGCTATTCGCATAGCATGTTCTTTGTGGAAGTTCTTTAAGAACAATACTTAAAAAAATGACCACTAGATGTCACTATAGAGAGGGGTTTCGAAGCCTCGACACATATTTCTTCGACTGTTTCAGTGTTTCACGAAGCCTCACTTTGGCCACCACTAGTAAAAAGGGGCATTAAAGGTCCCCTTTAAAGGTTCACGAAACCCTAGAGTACTTTTTTGAGATTTTAACAGATTTGTGTGTTGAGCATCAGTTAAGAAAATGTTAGCACCTGTTAGCTTTAATTGTGGGAAAAACTGCATCATTTTGTCCGCTAATTTCAGCTTCCGGGTTTAAATTCAGCTTTTCCGGGTTTTTCCGGGGCGCAGAACTGCAAGTGCAAAGATGACATGTCGGTTTCTCATTATTATTCATAGCCGAGTTGTCTTATGCTATGAGAAGAGCCTGCTTCTTAATTATTCATGACTGCACATGCTTCCCGAAGGCAAGACAGACCTGCCAGTGGAAAGCCCAAGCTGTGAGACACCGACCCACGGCACACAGTATTTAGCTGTTCATGAAGGCTCGTATGTCTATGTTTCTATGATCCACGCGGTTTGTTGCATGTTTTTTCCCGCGATACTGTCAGGGCCGATACAGCAAAGCTGTATGCAAGCATTTTTGTCCGGAGAGTAGTACGAGAACTGGAGAATGGCAAACGTCTTTTATCAGGAGTTCGTTCTCATTTAGACACATCGCCAAGCTGCTGTGTTTGCCTAAATCCTCCAGATTACCAACAGGGCTAATGGTTAAAATAGACAGGGCAAGAGACCTGCTGCACTGAGTCTGCATTCAGACCTATGATTCAGACACGGGGATTGAGGGAAAAGTCCTCATTTATCGTGTTTATATGAACTCTATTATCTTTATAATGATATAAATTGTGGTTGTGTGTATATGAAATTAGGAAAAACAAATGGAGCAGGGCATTAAATTACTGTTTATTTCTTTGCATTTTAACTTTGTAAACTATAAGATCATGCGTCTCACGGTTTGTGTCTCATTTTGTGAGCTAACTGACAACAGTTGTTCGCTCCCCTCCTTCTCCCCTGCTGGCCACGCCCACTCCAGCCCTTTGCTCGCCGAGCTCCACGCCCATTATGATGCATCTTTTAAAAAAATTCTGTGGTAGACCAGAAGCGAAAGTGGGGGGTGTCATGACCCTTTAAAGATTAGGATAGGCTGAAGATTGTAATATATTACGTTTAAGAATAACTTTACCCAACACTGGTGATAAATTGGATATGAAACTTTAACCCACATACAGGGCAATGATGACAATATATTCTATGTATGCAAATGTTTTTATTGTCTTTTAGGAGTACTGAGTTTTCTATGTGTATTATTTACATATACTTTAATTAAAGAAGCCAGAACAGATACTGTCGATGTACATTATCCTGCAGATCTTGGATTAATTAGGATGAAGCAGATTTGTGTGTAAATTACTAAGATGGTCTTTTCTGCGGGTTTGTCTTTTTCACTTTTGATTCTAATCGTTTTAAACTAATTTATCTGTAGTTCATATAAATCTGGTGTAAAGGAAGTCTTGCTGTTCAAGGGCAAGCTACATTAGCGCATGTGGGTTTACAGTTTTTGGAGATCTGCTGATCTATGAACAGAGATGAGGTCTCCATGTGTCTCTATGTCTGGAACATACAGATGCGGTTTAGCCTTTTTGTTTCTCACTGTTGTGTTTCTTAAAACATTTTTGTGCACATGCTGGATAAATAAACATTTATATTTTGAAGCTAAAAATGCATCTGTGTCGTATGCATGTCTGTGTGGGGTGATGTACTTTGTGTATATAGATCAATTATAAATCATGACAATAGCTTTTTTCAATGACATCAACTTTTCCCCAGCTAACAGGGAACATTCTAAGAACATTTAGTGACTTCCCTTAAAAGTTGTGTAAATGTTAGCACACAATGGTATTAAAATAATGTTTCTAGAATATTCTTAGAACATTAATATGAACATGAGACTGAAATGTTTTGAAAATTCTTTGAAGATGGTTATCAAATACAAAAATAGCATTTATACAAAGTCTACAAAACTGTTTTTGAACATTCTAATTGTTTTATTGCTCACTGGGAACAATAAAAAATGTTTTAGAACAATAATATAATCTGAATAGAATGTTCTAATAACTTTTCATGTTCTGAGAACATCACTAAACTGAAACATATTTTTAAAAATGTTTGATTAACATTCTTAACAAAAAATAACCTTATTCCATTACTTAAAATGTTTTGAATGTTCATAGAAAAAAAATGTGATATAACTTGAGGGGAACGTTTTTAAATCCTAAAATTGCTAAGAGCAATTATGAATATGCTAAGACCAATGGATACATGATAACATGATGATAGTTTGTAGCAGGAATCGCCAACATGGTGCCCATGGGCACCAGGTAGCCCGCCAGGTTCACATGAGTTGCCAGTGGGCCTGTTCTAAAAATAGCTCACCATAGCACCACATATGAGTAAGCTGCATCTAATATTTTTATAGGTATTCTTTTTAAATAACACTTGCATTGGTGTAAATTTAAAAAATACTTTCAGTTATATATTAAAAAAACTTTAAAAACAATTTCAGACAAATGAAGTGTTGCATATTGATATTTATCTAACTTGTTAAATATTTGTTGACAACTACTGTGAGAAATCATTAACATGATCAATGTCTTTACATGGATGAATATTATTAATTATTAATAATAACATATAATTAAAAGTAAATTAAGAGAAATGTGTTATTTAATAACTTCAGTTTCCAAAAGGTTGGTGACCCCTGGGCTGTAGTATAATGGGCACACATAAATCCCATTGTAACCTTAGACTAGTTGGAGGACTTCAGAAGAAGCGCACTGCAGGACAAGATGACAACAAAGACTGAAACCGACTTTTAAACAGTCAATCAAGCAACCTCTCGATGTGATTGCTCACACATTGCCTCTAGAGATTGTTTCACTCTGTGCCAAAACTGCTGCATAAACAGACACATCTCATAACAAATCTAGACAGGTGGAGCTGGAGGAGGTGGAGGTTTTGGGAGAATTACACTTCAGGACCAGATACGACAAACACTGAACTATCTTTTAAATAATGAGCAACATTTTCATTGCAGATTGAATGTAAAGCACTTAATCAACCTTCACTGCTCAATGAATAGGCATATAAATATAGCAGTTCCCGTTGGTGGCAAGCAGAGACACCCATAAGATTGTAGGCTAAACTGCTTTTGGTGTACAGCAATACACAGCTATATAAATACATTCATTCATTCGTTCTAGACAGGTGGAGTCAATAATTCTTATACTATGATTATTGATCTTATACTCTGATTACCACACTGTTCAGGTAATGTATTTCAGATGTTTGTTAGGTTGTTGT